TTGGAACCATGGCAGCAAAAAAAGACTTGGAAAGCCAGCCGCAGCAGTCGGACGAGCGGACCCCGCTCCTGGGGACATCCGCCGAGGCCGGATCAAGCCAGCAGCCGGTAGAGCATCGGAACGACGATAACAGAGCCAACGAAGGCATTCAAGATCCGGAGCAGGTGCCCCTCATCACGGGCCAGGATGGCGTGGAAAAGAAAGAGAGGACGACTGGCTGGTGGTTATGGCGGGCGTTCTGGGCAGTTCTCGCCATCTTCGTCCTGGCTGTCTTTATCAAAGGCTGGATTGATGCCAAAGATACTAACGTAAGTCGGTTGGACGATGGGTCAAGCAAACCAATAACTGACACATTATCACTTAGTTTGACCTCAAAGCAGCTCTTATGAGAGCTCTAGGTGGTGGCTTGAGTGGTGCCGCGGCTATGGTCTTGCAAGTTTTAACACTCATGGTACGTACTTGAGTGAGAATAGGCGGAAGACGAGGCTTTGTTGCCAGTGAGTAGGGACGTTACTAATTGCATATTACCACTAGCCCATCCGAACTATCATGAACTATCAGTATCGTTTTGGATCTGGCTTCAGGGAGGCAACTCGCACTCTTTATGAAGATGGAGGAGTGCGCAGGTACTACCAGGGAATCGGAGCCGCACTGATTCAGGGTATGCGGCGCATGCACCTTTTTTCTTGACGCCATCATGTCAGAGTTGTGCTCACATATCTGTGAAAAGGACCGGTCTCCCGCTTCGGCGACACTGCCGCTAACGCAGGTATCCTTGCTCTCCTCGAGTCGAATTCGTTCTTGAATCAGCTCCCTACCCTCATCAAGACCATCTTTGCCTCTCTTTGGTAAGCTTTTCAATACCTTCATCCTATTCGCTCAACCGTAAAGCCATCATTAGAACGAATGCTGATGTAGAGTGACTTTGAAGTGCTGCTGCCTTCCGCATGATCTTAACTCCCATCGATACCTTGAAGACGACGTTGCAGGCCCAGGGAGCGAAGGGTACCGCTATTTTGAGACAGCGCGTCAAGACAAATGGCATCGGTAGCTTGTGGTGGGGAGCTTTTGCGACTGCCGCCGCCACATTTGTCGGCCACTATCCTTGGTTTGGCACCGTCAGTTCAAGACTTTTCCTACACTGCAGGTGCAAGTCAAAACTAACGATCGTTGGTAGTACAATTACCTTTCCGCCAACATTCCCGAACCGGACAAGAGTGACATCTTCGTTTGGCTTTTGCGTCTTGCTTTCATTGGATTCTGCGCCTCCGTCATCTCTGATTCTGTTTCCAACTCGTTGAGAGTGGTAAAGACCTACAGACAAGTCAACGACACGCAGATATCGTACTGTACGTCAACGCTTCTCCTGATGAACCCTGTCAAACATTCTATATGTGCTTGTCTTACTGACTGGAACCTCGCCAAAATTGCAGCCCAAGCCGCAAAGATCGTCATACAAAGAGAAGGCTTCCTCGGCTTCCTCGGACGTGGCCTCAAGACCCGAATCTTGGCCAACGGTCTTCAGGGCGTGTTGTTCTCTATTCTTTGGAAGTTGTTCCTCGACCTGTGAGTTACACGCCGGCTGCCCCCTTACATGACAGTTCTAACTCTGAACAGCTGGGAGAAGAAGACACACTCTTAGTGTTCACCACATTGGATCTTGCTGGACAGCCCTGAATAAGGTAAAGGAGGAATTTGAGAACCATCTAGCTCTCTGCGAGCAATCGTTATAGAGAAGGAACGAAGAATGCCCTGAATGGGCAATATAGATGGGCATTGTCATAATTTGAGTATGAGAGTTGTATTTACATGGAGTATGAAGTGTGCATTCGCGTTGGTGCGGAGCTCATTCGATATCTCCTGCCTCAAAGTCAGCCGCTTCTTGCTATCCGGCAGCCTGGCCAGCAAATTCGACCCCAACAGCTCGAGCTGGCACACATGGGGCCTCTGGTGTAGCAAAAGACGAAAAAGGAGAGTGTCCCTCGCGAAAACTGCTCCAATCAAGTACATCCTATAGTAAGTGGGTGAGTGGTGCTGGTGTCCGTCCTAAGAAAGTTCAACCAGTCCACGGTCTTATGCATCAACCCCTCCTCCAACTTTGTGTTACTAATGACGTGGTAATTTGTTATCAGATGTAGAGACAAATGTGAGTGGCAGCTTGATACCGCAAAGAAACCCACCCTAGAGCCAAGACATATGTATGTCTGACCTGAGAGTATGACCGAACCGACGGGCCCGAAGGACCTGATTTATACCCGCGGTTCTAGTTGAAATTAGAGTGCAAGGTAAGGGTGATCGACAGTCTTCTAGTCCTCGAAAATATCTTCCACTTCTGAACGCCTTCGGAAGCACGTTTCGGCAAGTATATGCGCCCATTTACTTTAGAAAACTCAGCCCATGCATGAATTGTGTCACAGTGAGAAAGTGCGGATAGAGGTTCCGTTCATTCCTGTCGTATCACAAGTACATAGTCCGTCACTTGGGCTTGCGTCCCGAACAAAGAGAATTCCGTTGGCCGTCGTTCTCGAAAGAGCTTGACCCGCTTATACGGAAAGCGATAGAAATCAGGATATTTATCTCACTCGAGCCTTGCTTGGAAGGTACATAGTCATTAGTCCCCGACTTGTAGCTTGGTGGCACATACAGCCGGGATATGCAGCGAGCTACTTGGCACATAACAGTTGTGGTCAACTGAAATTTTGAGCACTGCGAAGTAAATCAAAAGCCGTGGTTTGTTGATTCTAAAGATGCCAGATCCTTGCTAGTCGCTTTGTCTGCATGCTACGAGGCGTCTCTGGGCTGATTCCAATGTAACCCAGGCCAGCTTCGATGTGCGAAGAAAGTTGGGGCTGCCTCGAGAGAGACATCAGGCAGCTTGTTCGGATTTTGTTCCAGAGACTTAGGTGATCAACTGGAGCTGAGAAGCTTGTATTCAATCAGATACAGTGGCTTTTCCTTCTCGGATGTCCCAATCAGAGGCGCAAGATAAAGTAGATCGAACTGGAGCCGGATCCGGTTCGTGATCTCCTGTGCCTACCATGTTTGAATCTTTTTCGAGAACAAGAAATGCCGAACGCATTCTGTCTAGCAAAAAGGCGTCGTCAATACAGAAACTAATGTCAATTGTCTCGTATTGACGTGGTCTTCACTCTTTTGAGGTGGACAGGGTTTATGGAAATGACGCTGATAAGGCACAATTACGACAGAAGCCGACTTGTGTGGCGAGCTCTCGCGGGATGTCCAATCCTGAGGAAGATCGCGACAGTCGAATCTTCTCGTATGGAGTTGAATGTGGCTTCAAGACATCGTTGAGAATTAAAGACACTAAGAAAGCCCACGAACCAATGGGGCAATCCCGCTGTCAAAACCCCGGCTAAGAACGTTGAGGTTCCACATCTCCGGACTTCCCCAGTCCCCGCTCCGAATTCTGGCATCACAGTGACTGCGATTTGGACCGGCTACCTAGACTTCTGGCCCCCCTTGCAGCTGCTTCCTTCTGCCTCGTTCATGTCAATTACCCCCTAGAGTGGGAGTCGCTGCCTGGCGCGTGCGCCGACGCGGGAGGCTTCCGCGACCAGTCTGTTCGTCCCGTCTCGCGATCTCGCGAGTTCGATGTCATCCGATGTGTCCAACCACTAGCATGCGGGATGACATCTGATGTAGCCAGTCGCTGAATATCTCACACAACCCAATGAACATTTCAAGCGGCTCGCCCCCACAGGTTAAGAAGTATCTTTCGGCGATCTTTGCCCCGCGGGGCATCGGGCGCCATGACTGCATGTCAGCACGGCACTGAGAGTGCCGCCTGTTTTAGCAGACTACTGTCCAATCTCGTATCTTACTGCGTCAAAAGCGCGAGTTCGTCCTGAGACTCTCACTGGCACGAAACTACAGGTACAGTGTCATGTCGTGCACGTAGTAAGCCCTTATAGTGCATACCCGCGCTCCTGATGGCTCGTTCCCGCGCGTGCTCGGACGAATTTAACGAGCCAATCTCGTACAAGCTATCTCGAAAATTCCAACGTCATGTTTGAATTAGTTTAGTATAACCAGAGAAGAATCTGAAGTTGATAAACGTAAACAAAGTGAGAGAATCAGGCATGTGACGGAATATTTTGCTAGACCTTTAGCGCAACTCTGGATGGTGTCAAGGGTCCTAGACGGAATTGGCTGTGGCCAAGTCACGATGTGACACTGCCCCTGCCATGCGGCGCAGGCGTCTTTTCTATCCCTGCTTGTAAATCCTGCAGGTCTCTCATCGGAACGATTGAGCCTGTCAATGGGGTCTTGAGACATATCCCGCCCTACTGATTTGCCTCAGCGATAAATCTGAGCGCAACAACAGGCTGCCATCTTTTGCTTACACAAGAATGGCCGATGCACCTTTCAGGGCGTCTATTTGCCAGATCGGGGAAGTCAGCGACGAAACGTGCGAGCATCTAGAGCTAAGCTATCACTTGGCGGCGATGTTCATGGCTGAAAGGAAGCACAGATGCGAGGGAGGCTTATCCTACAGACCCATAGCTCGCTCTGCTTCGGACTTCACGGAGTCAATATCGTGCGATTCCATTCCGAAAGCAGGCAATCGCAAGATTTTGATGCCCGTTTAAGGCGTTCCGAATCGAACTCATGTACACGTCGCGCCGTGTAACAAGCATCGCTATGCGGTCTCCGGCGTGATGAAGTGCGTTTGAACGCTCCCATTTGTTGTTTTCCCGCACTTTCAGCTGGGAATGCCGATGACATTCAAATCCTGATCTCTTCACAGAAAGGAACTTTGGATGGTCTCGACCAAGTCGACCCACCCAAAGGTCTTCCGGCAAGTTTGCCAGCCCTACATGCAGCAAGGTTGAGTAACTGCTTCTCGGAATCTCGGGTAGTCACGTAGCAGTATATCTATCTGCAATGCCACCCATCCACTGTCTCCATTTCCCCTTCCTGGCTCCCAAGAGCATTCACTGTCACCCTCTTCTCAAGCAGGAAACTTTGAGAGCCTCATTATGGAGAGCTTTACTCTCGTCATATTTTATCTTGGCATCCTAGTGGTGCCTGGTTTCCTATTCTCTTCCCTCCGACGCTTGCTAGGATGGTCCACAAAAACCTCCGTAGATGGCAAGACATCCAAGTCTCCTGCCAGATTCCCTGGTCCCAAGCAATACCCAGTCGTCGGCCGTGTACATGACTTGCCCAGATTTGCCATGTGGCTCAAGCTCAAGGAATGGGCAGATGAGTTCGGGCCAATCTATCAAACCAGCATGCTTGGCCAGAAGTTCGTAATCATTTCTGACGAAGGAATGGCTCAAGATCTCCTCATCAAAGATGGCAACAAATTCGCCGGAAGACCCCAGATCAGGGCGCTCATTGATCATAAGTTGGGTCCGGCATACTCTGCTTTGATGGACCGCCATGGTGAGTGACACAATAACCATGATTAATTTGACAATCGACCCGAGGCTGAGTTGATCAACAGACACTTGGAAACATCAAAGAAAATGGGTCCATGCGGCTATGGCGGCTGCTCATCAGCATCACTTCTATGGTCATATCGAGAACGAGGTCAAGCGGTGGCTGGTGACCCTCCTTGTCGACCCAGAGAAATTTCACGGCAACACTCGCGAGCTGACAGGGCGCATCATCAGTCGCCTTGCTTGGGATGACTCCACACAAGGACGGGCCTATGGCGAGAGTGCCATTGAGACCTTGACAAGGATGTCCATCTCTGGCCCCATTGTCAACACCATGACACCACTATGGCACATTGCAGACCTCGTTCGATACAATCCTTGGCGCAAGTACGAAGTGAACCGCGAGAAGAACCAGCGTGCTTGGTGGTTGAAAACATTCAGGCTCTCCAAGGCAAGATATCTGAGAGGAGACTTGCCATCAGACACATGGACCTACCGGTACTTCGAGCAGCTACAGAAGAGTGGAAATGAGACTCTTAAGCAGACTGAAAAGGCTGAAGACTTCGCAGCCTGCATGCTTGGCTTCCAGTGTCTTGTTGGAGTGGTCACTATTTCTGGGCCTATGCAATTCTTCTTGATGTGCATGGCGCTTCATCCCGAGTGGTTAAAGAAATGCCAAGAGGAAATTGACAGGGCCTGTGGCGATAGGATGCCAACTCGTGACGACTTCGCCGAACTTCCAACCGTAAGGGCTTGTTTGAAAGAGACCCTCCGGTGGAGGTCTGGGGTGCCTCTTGGTAAGTAGACTGTTGCAGAGATGAGGAGCTTTGAGTTGATATGAGTACTGACTACATCTGTTCAGGGGTTCCCCATCAATGCGAGCAGGATTCTGAATTCCGCGGCGTGAGAATCGAGAAAGGAACAATTATCCTTGCATGCGAGTGGTATGTCACCCCGCGCTGATCTTGACCAAGCCTTGATTGACGCGACCCAACTGCAGGAACATCAACCGTGTCCCGGAAAAGTACCCCGACCCAGAACATTACCGCCCGGATCGCTACCTAGACCCCAGCTTTCCCACGTATCAGGAGCCTCTCAGCCGGTACCCGAACTTCCGCGATGGTGTCGGCATGCATACGTTTGGGTGGGGTCGTCGAACATGCCTGGGCCAGAACCTAGTAGATGACGAGATGTTCGTCGCTGGAGCAGGCGTATGCTGGGCCTTTGACATGAGCCTCAAGAAATGCCCCTCCACTGGCGAGGACGTGACGTTTGATACGCAGGCGACGAACTCCAACGTCATTCTGGAGCCTCTGCCGTTCCCAATGCAGTTCAAGATCAGAAGCCCTGAGCGAGCTAAAGAGGTGTTTGAGGGGTACAATGCCGTCAGGGATGCTCTGAAGGTTTGAGCAAGTCTAAAGCAATGATGTGATCCAAGATTGTGTTACATAGATAAAGTAGAGAACAGTGTCATGTTGTAACAAACCTATGCAGCAAGTCCATATTCAATTGGTATTGCGATGCTATTTCTTACGGTACACATCTCCTGTTCTTTCAATTTCAAGGTTCGCGTCCTTACCACGACCCTCCTTTTCGAACTGTCTGACGAGGGGCAAAACCTCCCGTCCAAATTGCTCAATCTCTTCATCGTAATGTAAGAAGGCGGTGAGCACTAGGTTAACACCCAAACTCTTCAACAAAACGAGTCGCTCAGCAACTTGCTCCTTAGTACCAATGAGCTTTGTCTTGAAGCCATCGTTGTACTGTACCAAGTCGTCGAACTTGCTATCGGCCCACATGCCCTTCTTGTTTGAGGTGCTGGCCCCAGCTTCCTGAACAGAGGCCCGGAACGCCTCGACGGCCTCCTTGTCCGCCTTGCCTTGGATCTCCTGCAACACGCGAACGGCCTCTTCTTCTGTTTCACGAACGATGACAAAGCCATTCACCGCGAAGCGCACCTGGTCCTCGCGGCCGACCTTTGCCGCGCGGGCCTTTACGTCCGCAATCTGGTTACGGAAACCATCGAGGTCGTTGCCGTTCATGAAGTACCAGTCACTGACCTCGGCGCCATTGTTTCTGGCGTCGTCGCTGTTGCCGCCCTGGAAGATCTCGGGATGAGGTTTCTGGACTGGCTTAGGATTGAGCACATAGTTCCTGTAGCGGTAAAAGTCACCGCCGAAGGTAAATCCTGTGTCCTCGGGTGCGGTCCAGATGCCTTTGAGACAGCGGATGAACTCATTGCTGCGACGGTAACGCTCAGCATGCTCCAACCACCACTCGCCGATGGCTGTGAATTCGCCCTTGAACCAACCGCTCACGATGTTAACGGCAATGCGGCCATTGCTGTAGTGGTCGATGCTGGCGATCTGCTTCGCCACCGTCGTGGGATTCCAGGGCCCAGGGAGAATAGCAGCAATGATCTTCACTGTGTCTGTGGCTTGGAGAATTGCCTGAGAGAAGGACACAGACTCATGTTGGTTTGCAGCACCGTATCCAGACGTGAAGCGAATCTGCGTGAGGCCGTACTCGATACCAGCTTGCTCCGCAGCCTTGGCGTATTTGACGTTGCTAGCTAGGTCCCAGTTTGTCCTCTGCGGGATCTTGCTGATTATCAAGCCACCCGAGACATTGGGTACCCAGTATCTGTCAAGTTAGCTATTTGTCTGCAACCTTTGAGGAGGGGATACCTACGCGAAAAGCAGTCGTTCAGGGTCGCTATTGAGGGGATGTGGTTGAGCGGTCATTTTTGCTGCGACGATGTGAAAACCGTAGGGTCTGTGGCTGCCAATTCTGCACGTCAATTGTGATTGCAAGAAGCGATCAAGTCCCTTTTCACTTTGAGCTGGTAACACTGAAGTAGATCGAGTTTGAACGATGTTGACCAAGCACACTTTGGAGACGGGGAACGGAAGAGTGGCAGGTTCTCAAATCCTATCATCAAGGACGGTGACATAGCAACAATGACAGAAGAGGAGATGTGACCAGCAGATATCAAACCATCATTCTGCATCTACTAGGATGCAGCTATGCTGGCGCGTTCTGCGCGATATATCCAGATCGACATTGCGGAGGAAGTTCCGTCGAATTGACGATATTGGCGAACCTATGCCTAGCTCTGACGTGATTTCCAAATACCACATTACGACGCATGCCGGAATTTAAATTGATACAATCGGAGCCAGTCATGGCACTTGAAGAGGCATGTGGTGCTGAGGGGAAAGGCTATGTGCCTTGCCGCTCACCCGTCCTCTCCAAGTGCGGCAATTGCACCATTATCGACTCAATGGCGAGATCGCCAGATCCCAGTTGACTGGGGTTTCCCCACGCTTCGATGGCTGCATCCACCCCAACATGGCGCGATGTGGGATTGAACCAAGATCTGCGAACTTTAATCTCAATCAATTCATTGAGACGAGTCTGAGCTTTCTAAGGTCTCATTGCAATGAGCAAGGATAGCGCAAATTTTCGGAAAACTCACTGAGACCAGGGCCATGTCGTCGGGTTCATAACTAAGTTCTGTTTGATTCATCTGCTGAAGGATCCGAAAGACAGACCCGCGCCTGCAACTCTCCTTGTTGTCTTCCTTCTTTCAATTTCTCTCGTCTGTTGTCCTACTTCAACTACAATGTCCATTTACTCTTCACCCCCCAATGGGGCAAGCGAGAAAGGGGTCGAGTCTGTCAAGCCAGAGCCTACCTTGGAGAGATTCGAGACGCTTAACCATGGGCCTCGATTCACTGCACCAAGACCGCTTCCTACAGCAGCGGTGAGTACCCCTTTTCGCGAATTTGCGATCCTTCCAAACATGTTGACTGATCAAAAAGCCTATAGACCTCACTTCCGATCGGAGCTTTCTCTACAACCTTGACGACGCTTTCCCTGAGTTTAATGGAGTGGCGAGGAGTGACAACAACTAACGTCTACATCGCAAACTTTTTCTTTCTAGCTGCCTTTGGCCTAGTAATATCTGCGCAGTGGGAGCTTACGGGAGGAAACGGCTTTGGTTACAGTGTCTTCAGTGCTTTCGGTAAGCTCGAATGAGATGGCTTTCAACGCCTCCTCGACTGACAATCAGCGTACAGGCCTCTTTTACGCAGGTTACGGTGCCATATTAACTCCCTCTTTTGGGGTTTCAGCAGCATATGGCGATGATACCCAGCAGTTGAACAATGCTCTCGGACTTTTCATGATCAGTGAGTGATGTTATCAATCGTTGCAGTCAAAATTTAAGACTAACGCAATGACTCTCGCGCAGTTTGGAGTGTCTTCGTTCTCGCCTACCTAGTCGCCACCATACCGACAAATATCGTTTACATCCTGATCTTCATCTTCGTTGAGTTATGCTTCGTACTGGTTGCTGCTAGCTACTTTGCTGCTGCCGATGGTCATGATAGCGCATCGGTTGGATTGAAGAAGAGTGGTGGCGTTTTCGCGTTCCTCGCTGGGCTTGTTGGATGGTAGGTTTCTAGCTGTTGCAGAGAACAATTTTGCTCAACTAACACAACTCAGGTATCTGACTTTCCACCTCTTGCTAAAGGACTCTTTGGTAGAGTTACCATTGGGTGATACTTCTCAGTACTTCCCCAAGACTCGGAAGAAGACCGAGTAGGTTGCCAGATTGAGGCAACAGTGCAATTTATTGATAGACCTGATGAATTGGGCATTTGTATCGAAGTGGTAGTCACTAGTCATATGGTCAAAATGTAGATACCAGACGTTATCTAATTGCAAAATTTGTGTCTCTCCTCTAGGAATTAACATTCATCCTACGGTTCAATCTAGGTGTCAGCTGTTTATATTCATTTAAGTCCTTAAATCTCAGAGAGTCGATTTGGCGGGAGAGGAAAACAAAATAACGGGACATGACATCTTCTGTCATCCATCTTCCTTGGCCGGCTGGATTGATGTTACAGGTGACAAAGATTGACGACTAACCTCGGGGTTTCAGAGCAGTCCATAGTCAGAAACTCAATTGAATAGAATTCTTGTACAATGAAGCCTGATTGGTGCACTGCAAAGATATGCCGCGATTGCTGCAGAATAGCGTACATGGTGCCATCCTGGTGCTCGCAGACCCCTCTTTCGAGAACTCTCTGCGACAAGTCAGAGCAGCTGCCGAAACAATGATACTTTCAACATCAGATAGAATATCTGCCCGATCACGAAAGTCTTCTGAACAGGAGATTGTCCTTGGACAAAGGTAGTTAAGCTCCAATGTGACCTTATCCCTGCATGCCTCATTACCTGTCGGTATGGGGTTGGGGGCCAGACGCGGAGGTGCGAAGTACACCCACGCGCGCATCCTAAGTCGTTGCGATTGCGACATATGACAACATAGCTGTGGACCCTCGCGCCACTGGCGACGGCGGAACGGAGTGCCGGCTATCGCTGAACCGTTAGACTGCGGAGGCGGCACGGGCGGGCGTGTTTGAGCATATTTAGATACATGTTGGCGCAATTTGACATCAAAGATAGAAGGGAGACAATATTCATCCAGTCCTCTTACACGTCAGTCAACCGTTCTCGCCTGTTGCGGATTTCTACTCGCTTTTATTCCTCCCCAAATTCATGCGACAAGACAGCCATTCCTTCGGAGAACCCAAGAATCTAATCTCATAGGTCGTACAAAATGAGTAGCAACGCTCGTTCGGTTCCTGCAACCGACCCCAAAGTGTACGACGAGTACCAGCAGAAGTGGTCGTCACTTCCTGCGGACGAAGCAGCGTGGCTTCAGCGAGCCAAAGACGTTGCAGATGTGCTAGCCGTAGATGCCGCGCAGCGTGAGAGGGAGAATAAGTCACCTAGAGCTGAGATTGCGCTGCTGAAGCATTCTGGTCTTCTCAAAGTCCTGGGATGGAAAAAGTATGGCGGTGGTGAGCAGCCGTGGAGCGTCGGCTACAAGGTGATTCGCGAGGTTGCCAAGGGAGACGGGTGAGTTTGACCGAAAATTGAGTACTTTTGCGAGTTGAATTTCTGATGTACTGGAATAGATCAATTGGCATGCTTCTGGGATACCATTTGCTCTGGTCAACGACGGCCAACGTCATTGGCAGCTCTGAGCAGGCAGACCGCACTCAGGATCTCATCATTTCCAACAACTACTTTGTCGGTGGTGCCGTGAACCCTCGCGACAGCGATCACAAGATCACTTCAGACGGCGACAACGTCATCTTCAATGGCTTCAAGAACTTCAACACCGGTGGACTTATCTCCGACTTGACTGTTCTCGAAGGTGTACTTGAGGGTACGGATGACCACCTGTATGCGTTGGTGAAGACTGACCAGCCGGGAATTATCTTTTCTCACAACTGGGATAATGTTGGCCTGCGTCTGAGTGAGTCGGGAAGCGTCAAGATTGAGAACGTCACTGCGCCCTGGTCTGATGCACTAGGATGGAATGCCGCCGAGAAAAAGCCAGATGACTCGATTCTCAAAATCCCGTTTGCAAGTCTGCTTCTTCCCACGTAAGAACCCAGTTCTCAACACTTGAATAGCAAAATCTGACTTTAGGGACAGGATTCAACTCGTTTTCAGCAACTTCTACATCGGTATTGCATGGGGTGCGTTGGATTTTGCCTCAGCCTACACTAGAAAAAACACGCGGGCCTGGCCCTTCGGCGGTGACGTAAGTGTTAGAACAGCTCTAATCAATTATACCCATAAAATGCTCACAGCGGACTTCAGAACAAGGAGAAGGCCGAGGATGAGTTTTATATCCTGTCCACTTACGGAAACTTCCTAGCTCACCTCCGTGCAGCCGATGCACTTGCCGACAAGGCTGGTCTCGAGATTGATGCATTGTACAAGTACTCTGGAGATCCATCAACTAGGGCTAAGGTCACTGCAAAGGCTCGAGGAGAAGCAGCGGAGTGGGTTGCTAGTGTCAAGGTCACGGCAACTGACACGGGACTTCGGGTTACGTCCGGTGTGTTCGAGGTGACGGGCGCGAAAGCCACCGGAACTAAGGTTGGCCTTGACAGATTCTGGAGGGATATCAGGACACACAGTCTGCATGATCCTGTGTCTTACAAAAATCGTGAGCTCGGTAGATATCAGCTGCTGGGCGAGATTCCCGAGCCGACATGGTACACTTAGAGAAGACACCAGGCGGAAGTATCAATGAATATAACGCATTTTGAGCCTTAAATTTCTCTCATCCCCATTAGACTAATCATCGCTCAGAGCTTGTGAAATATGAACCTTCCCCACTGCCCTCTTATTGGCTTGAACCAATAGTCTAGATGTCTATACTTACAGGTCCATATCGTGGAATTGTGAAAATGCTTGATAACTTCATATAGAGATTTTACAGAGAGATCGACGCATCGGCAAACTTACTCTTGCCACGAATAAGCTTTCCATATTTGAAGAATAGGTAAGGAAAGACCATCATTCCAATAGCCAAGAAGCCTAAAAGTGATGAGGCCCATTGAAACCCGAGCCTCACGTACATCTGATTTCCAAACAGCGGAAATGCAGCTATGAAGGAATCAGTCAATTATGTACGAAGACTCTGCAACTCGTCAGGGGACACTTACCAGCCGCCAGGCAACGGACAAAAGAATTGGCAGCTAGCGCACTGGCAGCATACCTGGGATAAGCTTCAACCTGTTCTCTGTTAGTGACTTTCTATGTCTTGGTAATTCTTCTCGAGATGTGCTACGCACCAGAAAGGTCCAGATACCAGTGAAAAGAAGGATGTTTCTATTGAGAAGAACATTGTGTTAGTCCAAACTACTGTTGAGAGGGCGCCAACGCTTGCATGTATATGTCAAAGCTCAACAAGACTTACCCAGCCCCGAACATGGCTGTACCAACGATGGGAACTATCCAATGCACCCAAGGGTACATGGACCAACCAAACATGAAAATTCCCACTGGAACAAGAATAGACCCGAACATAGCGGGTGGAAGTCGGAACTCAGGCTCGCTGCCATCTCCATTTTCGCCTTGGCCCTTGTTCTTCAAAATGAGTCTTATCCTGACTTTATGCCATACCGGATCGGTGGCAATACCCAGCAGCATACCAACCAAGATCCCCAGAAAGCTACAGCCAATTTGATAGAGATTGAAGCCATAAGTCTCTCTAAAAACAAGAGGGAAAGCTCCAAAGAATAAGTATAGTATGCCAAGTAGCAAAGCCGAGAAGAGGCAAAGAGAGAGACACATTGGCTCAAAAATGAGGAGCTGGATGGGCCGCAGTAATGATATCCCAACTGCACCGAGCACAGATTTGGAATGCATCTCCGAAGCTGCTTTCCAACGATCATCCTCGGTTTCTTTCCGAAGATTGCGAGCCTTGTTCCGTAAAAGAATGGGATCTAATAAGCCATGTCAGTTGCGAGTTCTTGGAGGGGGGTCATCAAGCTTACGATAAGTTTCGGGGACAAGAAAGACTATTCCCAGCTCTAGTACAAATGACCACATTATGAGAACGTAGAACGTCCAGCGCCACCCAGTATAATAGTTAATGAATCCGCCTACTAAGGGTCCTAGGCTTGGTCCAATGAACGGACATATGGAAAACAGCAGCATGGGCGCTTGTAATTCGTCGTTTGAAAACAAATCTCGGACGGTTCCAGCGGATACAGCTTGGAAAGCACTCCCTGAGAAACCGTCCAAGAAGCGAAGGATAACTAGTGTGGTGATGTTTCTTGCTGTCGCTTGGGGGATCAGAAAAAGGAGGTGGCAAGTGGACGAGATCAAGTATATCGGCCTCCGCCCATAAAACTCGCTGAGAGGACTGAAGAGCATCGGCCCCAGCGACAAACCGAGAACAAAAGTTGATAGTCCCAGAGTCGAAACAATCCTCGAGTTGTGAAATTCGGCCTCCAAGTTGGGGTATGTTGAAGTGTAAATAGAACTCGCACATGTGCTTTGCAGGTGTAAAGTGTTAGCAGTGACACAGACCCCTAGGGGTTCTAGTGACCATAGATCTTACATGCAGAGCGCCATTTGCGAAACCACCATGGTGATCAACCACTTTCTTGTCTTACCGTAGCTTCTCGGACATAAAGGATCGTTATCGCCATCATCCCAATCTACTAGAAATTGACCTTCGGCGCGTGGCATGATTATGGCCTAGGGTGACGAAACAGAGTCTTCCAAACACTTCGCGAAGGAATTGTACTAGAGTTCACGATGGTTTTTGTCAATTCATAGCGGTTGAACCGTGATAGTGCGCAGTGAAACGAGCCGCAACGCGGCAACGTGTCTCAATGTTGTCAAGATGCGAGTTCGCAGCTACTCGAGCATTACTCCGTTGTTCCGGGCATATTTCCGCCAGTTACATTATCGAATTACTAAGCTACGTCACATGTGTCGTTGTAGATCGGCATCGTTCCATGCGCAGTAACTGGCAACGGAGGCACTAAAGCGGAGGCGGAGACGGAGGTAATAGCGGGACTTGCAACGGAGATGCAACGGATATTACGCTACTCGTGGGCACTCGACATTCATCACCCACTAAAGTAGGTGCATTTCAGCCAAACGACCATGTCACCCAAACGATAAATCATACCGGCGCTAAACAGCGGCAGGTTATTAGGCAATGTTGGTATCCCTATTACAGGGTAATTGGTTCGAACCGTGGGTTGACGAAGAGATCAATTGAACTATATGAATTTCTGCGCAGGTGTAAAAAGGAGGTTCCAACCGTAGGTTGGGCAGGCTACGATAATCGTAAATAGGGCCCCTAATTGGCCCCTGCGCAGTCGGCCGTACGCCGCGGTCGTGGACTTCCAATCCGACAGGCAAAGCACGCAGACAAACTACCTGCGAGCGGCCTCTAGCTGCCTCAACTCTGATATGAGGCTTCACAATTTCTCACAGTGTCTGAATAACCGGTCTTTGGGAGCTGCTTTCAACTTATCAGTCAAATCAATAACGACCGCTTCCGTCTGATGTTATTCTCTGGGCTTTCTAGCATCCTGTGCACCCAAAAAAAAACGTCCCTTACTTTCACAAAGCCTAGAAACCTACGGTTTAGTCAACATCGGCTTAGGTTTTGCAGCCCACATCATTAAGCTTTTGGAAGCAATCCCGCATTCTCTACGTCCACAAGCAGCTCGACGACCGTCTACTTCAACGCTGGGATGAAGGCTATTCCACCATCTCCACCAACGAGTAAAATCTCAACTACAAGCGGTGTGACAACATTGGAAATGGTGTCCGCTACAAAGACAACTACAACAACTAAACACGATCCCCAAGCTTCCAGAGCTGATTGTGTTCTTTTCCGTGCGGTCCGTAACAGATGAGGATGGAGAGGAAGACTATCACGAATTTGAGATGCTTTCGGTATAAACTAAGTGCGATAGTTCGTAGTTCGATATGGAAACTCCTTAGATTTAGGTAAGATTCATCAAAGATTGAATGAGTGTGCAAGGCACCAACACACCTTGCCGCGATTAATTCCATACATCATACATCATGTCAGCAAATCCAACCTGGCCTGTCCCATCACGGGGTCCCTTTGCTTGCCTTGCGAGTGTTGATGAACCTGCCCACTTCCGAAGGAAAATCCCGGACCCATAAATGACTTCCGTTCGTGATATCTAATAGTGTACTATCTGTCTTCATATCCATGTCTCCCGCTGGATAATACTTTCGGAGAAGGGAGTTCATATTGGCCAGAGCTCTTCGCAATGTTAGTTGACTCTCAGATGACATCGGTACGGTGGTATTCGCAGATGTGCTGCTTACCTCTGCCTCGTGATATGCCCCGGGTTCATAGATGAATATAATAGAAGCGGCTTGAGGGTATACAGGAGCATACGATCTTCAAACTCAGCAGCTGGGTCACTTGGGGGAAAGTGTTTGAAGTAAGCCCCACAATAGTCTTGTTGGTGCATTCGATGATGCTCTGTTCTCCAGTAGGCAAACTCCATCTCGTGGTGGGCGTAGTACCCACTGGAGTCAAATACGTAAAGCTTGCCAGTGTCATCCGCGGTGCCAAAGTTTCCATTCCATAAGTCTCCGTGAATGAAAGTTGGCTCGATTCCTTGGTTTCCGTCGCGCAAAGAAGACAAAAGCTTTGGGATAACATGGTGTATGACCTTGACGATGGCAGTGTCGAGATCCTCCCACAGGCCATTGGCTAGAACGTTGTAGTGGTAAACCTGAAACAAGATTTTGGCGAAGAGGATATGCCAGTGCTTTTCCCACCCTTCCAGGTAGCACAACATTCCGTCGAAGTTGCGGCCAGCTGTCCCATAGTTTTTCGAAGCGCCCTTGGATGCACTGTGCAGCTTAGCGATAAGAGCACCTGTCGAGTCAGGATCCGGCAAATCACGGTTGTCGAATTGGATGAATTGAGTCAGGAGGAAGCATCCTTCGTTAGACCCTGAAATTCCCAGACTCCCACAGCTGATTGGTTTTGGCACATGGTCCGGAATCAACGAGTACAGATTACATTGGGATTGGTATTCGCTTCCAAGCAGGTTCTTCCCGAGGTCCCCGGTGCCATACTAAGAAAGAAGACCTCAGTCATGATGGCGATTTAAAGTAGTTTGACAAACTTACCTTTGTGAAGAAGTGAACTTCTTCATTGTCTTGGTCTCGCGTCTCTATGCGACCGATACGAAACCATGAGCAATGGTCACCGTAGTCAGTTGCCCGCAAGACAGTGGTTCCAGCCGGCAATGCTTGGCCTCGTTAGCATATCCGTACTTCAAAGGGATTCCAGCCTGACCTTCTACAACCGCGTTGAATAGAGGGAATCCACCCTCAATGAGCCGAAAGTTCTCATGAGATGGATCATCGCTTTCGAAAGTCGGCGTCAATTCATGAGCCACCATTTCTCGATAACTTCACGACGAGGCTGTTCAATTAATCGGGCATGGAGGGTCTCATTGTGTAGATCACCTTGCTAAATCACATCTCACTATTTGTAAGGAAGAGAGGGCTGGTCTATCATAACCATTGACCAGCTACTGTCTGATTTACCCCGCTCTGGCGGCCCATCCGGTATCGCTGTGGCTTGACTTTGATGACGTACAGCGTGAAATACGGTTATTCATAGAGAAGGGGCACTGTTTTTCCGATGTCGTACTTCTTAATATTCCCTTATCTTGGTCCTTGTCAGCCAAGCCATAGTCCTAAGACAGGCTCCTCGCAGCCTGCTTCGAAATCTGCAAGAATGGCCTGGATGCTCGCGTGATCAAGGCGAGCTGCAGAGTGTGCGGGTGCACAGCATTATACTAATCAGGCAGGAGATCAAGGCCATGAAGTGAGGACCTTTTTGCGGCTCTTCACGTCGCTTTGGTGACTGCGGCGAAAACCCCAGAGCTTGCGCCTACATATTCAGGTGTGAGGTTAAAACTCACCCGCGGGATTGTCTTTTATACCTACCGAAGTATACATAGGTCTTCAATAGAAAGCCTCCAGCCAGCTCATAGCTTCTTGGACCTCTCAGCAACATTCGACTACCTGCATTGCTACAGTCAGATTCCTGCTAATCGGCCAACCTTCTCAATGAATCGTGACTCGCAACTCGCCAGCCCCCAGAGTCATGCCAATGGCCGTGCTAACAGCCATTTTACTGGTAGTTCTTATACGGATACTGGCATAGATGTGAGCATTTCAGACGCTCCCCTCTTGCGTACCCAGGCGCTGAACAGAGTGAACCGTACAGATGAACCGCTTCCAGCACTTACGCCAGGCTGATCCGGAGGGAGCCTTGCTGCTACGACGAGTGGGCCATGATCCGAACCCCTTTGTGCTGATCTGAAAGATTTCTGACAGAAATCTATGCTTAGGAAATGTCACGAGACATGAACTCGCTCAATCTCAGCGCACCTGAAAGTTACATGACACTCGCGGTCCGCGAAGCTTTGGGTGCACCGTTGCCGCGTAAGAAAAGGACTTTCTGTGCACCACATGACCCAACTGAGTTGTTTGAATGTTGTGTGATAAATGCTCTAACGTTAGACAACAGCCTCTGAGGGTTACCCAGATCGTCGTTATCATAGTGGAAGACACATAGTCAATGAAATTGAAGAGCTCTGCTGGCGACGTGCTCTGGAGACATTTGACCTGTCAGCAGAGACATGGGGCGTAAATGTTCAGGGTACGATAGGTTTCAGAAAATCTCAGAACCATGATTCCGACTGACAACAAGCTGACTTGTATTAGCGTTCTCTGGTTCATTGGCTAATCTGTACACCTACACCGCTCTTTTGGAGCCAGGCGACACACTTTTCCACATGGACCTTTCACATGGTGGCCACCTTTCTCATGGGCATCAAACGTCAAAACGCAAGGTTTCGGAGAGTGCCTTTAAGTTCAACGCAGTAGCGTACCATGTCAATCTCGAAACCGGGATCATTGACTACGACGGGCTCCACGAGTTGGCACAGCAGCATAAACCGAAGATCATCACCGTGGGTGGGTCATCCTACAGTCGCTTGATAGACTACGAGACCATGCGGAAGATTGCCGATGATGTCGGCGCTCTGCTTCACTGTGATATGGCTCATTTCTGCGGACTGGTCGCCGGTCGCGCAATCCCGTCGCCTTTTCCACACTGCCACGTTGTCACGACAACAACATACAAGTCTTTCTGTGGGCCCAAAGGGGCAATCATCTTTTACAGAAGTTGGATGAAAGACAAAATTAACAGCACCGTTTTCCCTCGTTATCAAGCCGCGCGCGACTACAGTGTCGTTCTTGCAATCTCAGTAGCGTTGCGGCAATCGCAATCATCGGTCTATCGAGAGCAACAGAGGCAGGTTGTCGAGGCTTCCCGCATGCTCGCAGCTTCACTCATCGAGCTTGGATACACCATCGTCGGGGGTGGGACAGACACCCACATGGTCATCATCGACTTGAGACCCCGCAAGATCGATGCAGCTGTAGCAGAGAAAGCTTTGGAATTGATCAACATCATCTGCAATCAGAATAGCATTCCAGGTGACCAGGGTGGCAATTGTTCTGGTCTGCGTCTAGGAACACCCCCAATGGTCCTCAGGGGTATGCCACTACTTGCATTCAACAAAGCTGCAGTATTGATACATCAAGCACTAGAGATTACGCATAAGATCCAGGCAGAGATGGTGCCCTGTCAACAGACGAGCGCTTGTTCTCGCCAATCAAGACGTGTCAGGATACTTGAGCAGTTCGTGGCCATCGCGCAGAAACATTCAATGATCGAGGATCTCAAATCACAGGTAGCATTCATCGTCTCTGCACATCCGCCCCCTTGGCATGAGAGAAGTTCATAGCACGTGGATGCTGGAAGTCGAGAACGAAAGATCATTCTTAAACAACACATTCATATTGAATAATCAGTTTACAATATCATTCTGCTACATCGCTAAGGGAAGGTTACATGCGGGCGTGCTCCAGTAACAGTGATGTCTTTCTCAGAATCATATCTTTCTAGGGTATCTAATGGCGCATACTCCTGACACAGATACAGCATGTCGTTATAGGCACTGATAAGTCAGTCTGAAGTTCACTGATTTGGCAGTAGATTGGAGGTACTTACATCTCTCTCGCAACACTCCCAGGATGCCCCGCCGCCTGATTTAGGAGAGCACGGATGCTGTAGAGGCGGTTGCGATCATCCCATTCTTCGGCTGGCTCAGAGGGCTCAAAGTGACGTTGATAAAGTCGCTGGTAAATTGGTGCGTTGAAATGATGAGCCCAGGGACATCTCCATGTACCGAACTCACATTCATTGTGAGCATAGACGCATCCTGGATCGAAGGCAATGGACTCCCCAGTCTCCATATCAATGCCAACGTTACCCTCCCATAAGTCCCCATGGATCAAAGTTGGAATTATGGTTCGTCCGTCAGCCTGCAAAATACCCAGTAGTCTTGGTATGACCTTCTGAATGAGTTGTTCACAGGCCGAGTCATACTCTGGCCAGGGAGGATTAACCTCGTTATCATACTTAATGACGTCTTTGAGTTGATGAGTGAATGATGCCGCCCAGCTCTTCTCCCAAGTCACTGTGCGGACCATCACTCCACAAACAGTGGCGACCTGGAACCCAAACATCCCATTTGGAGAGGCCCCTCTGCGGTGAAGTTCTGCAATTTGCGAAGTGAAACGCATAGGTTCAGGGGCTCTTGAAAGTTCCATGTCGTGAAAGTCACCCAGGAACCAGTAAACTGCGACTTCTGCCTGCTGATACATTCCCCACCCAGCTGCTTTGGGCACAAATCCAGTGATGAGCTCATTGATTGAATTTGCAGAATGCAATTCGCCTTCTGTCAAGGCCCGAGCTCCCTTGCCTGTGGCTAGCTATATGGTGAATGAGTACGTTGATAAAATACAACGAAAGCTGCAGTACAGACCTTGAGAAAGTAACGTTTTGGAGTGTCTCCAGGCAATATGACGCATATTTTGGCTGTCTTTGTCCAAGCCGATATGCCCCAAGATTCCGCTGATAGAACCTTTGTTCCAATAGGCATAGCTAGCAAAATTGAACTTCCATCAGTACGTCTGCAACATTGCATAAATATTTAAGGATTCTTACCGGAAACCACAGTCATGTGGAGCGGAAAGTTTCCACTGATATCTCGCAACCACTTCGAATCGTCTGGCATCTTGCGGTCCTTGATGCTGCGCAATCCCAAACAGGGAAATCAAATGTCTTCAAACCTATTACTAAACTAAGGGCTACTTAAATAATGATGAGCCATCCGTCCGGCCTCTTTAATTAAAGTGTGGGTTGAGTGATGAACTGCTATCCTGACAAGCACAGTTTCCCGCCAACTAAAATCAAGATACAAAGTTCGATTCGGTAGAACAGTATCCGACTAAATGATAAAACATGGAATACGAAGATAATCCGGTTGGCGGCCTTGCATATGCCAATGGCCGATTCTGCTGTGATGAATAAGGTAATAAGCCCTGTGGGACCATTTGGGCATGCCGCTGCATAGGTAGTGTAGCAGGCTTCTCACCGAAGAATGATTTGATTGGTGATGCCCATCAATAAGATCTCGCTGCCTTATGAGAATGTTGTGAGAATGGGAGGTGGTCAGTCGTGTTCTGTGTTCCTAGTGCATAACCAGCTGGTTGCATCCTGTTTCAGGCGCCACCCACACCACATGCACTCTTCTGCACACTTCACATACAGACAGATGATGAACCAAGTGTGGCAACCTCTCTGCATATCTATTGTCTCGTGCATGTATGACTGCATCTCCAAGGCTGGTTTGAGACCATCAATGGGAGCCGATGATTAGATCCGCGCTACAATTGGTGGATATGGCTGATTTTCAGCATAATACCCTTATCTCGAGTCCGTTCGCTTATTGAAATTGATGCAGCCTGCCTCAGATGTAAGCCAAAATTACCAAGTAGACGCGGAAGTACGTCGTGCGGAGCTGATGCTCAGAGCCGCATTTTTCAGGGTCTATGAGGTTTCCCGAACCACGAAGCCACTTCCCTATTCTTCCCTGAGCACAGTCGCCCGTGAACTCGCATTGCGCCTTGCTAGCCATTAGCCTTACTCGTAATGTTTGGCACAGTGACTTCTTTTCCAGTTTTTGTCTCGAGATGACCGTTCTAAAACGTGTTGTCGGTGAATAGATTCGCCAAAATTTATATCAATACTTCCCGACTGCAAGGACTCTGCCAGAGGGGGGAACTCTTCTTTTGCTTTTCTGTCCTATTTTTGTGGCCACAGAAGACGAATTACGACCTCGCGAACCCACTAACGACTGTCGTACCCCGGTGTGTCGTTGGTGTAGTACGCAGATTGACGACAGGCCACTCAGAGTCTGGCCGGCTAAAACTTCATTCAGCTTGTGTACGATATACCGCGCGTGACTTTTCACAAGATAGCGTTGCTAAAAGCTGCTCTTATCAGTCGCTCAAAAGTCACGATGCCAAAGATAGTAGGCACCTCAGTTCATTTTGTCTTCTTATCTCAATAGGGCACATGGCTCACCACATCCCTTGCACTCATCAGTTCCGAAATCCGTTCAAATCGAAGTCAAAATCCTCAGGAGATTCAACGCCAAACCATGGGCATCGACAGACCCAGAGAGTCGATACCTTGTCACAGCAAGAGATCCTCAGCCTCCCTTCACGCCAGTCAACGCTTATTCAATCCACAACCGTCGCATCCGAATCAAAGCCTCTCGAAAGCACCTCAAGCCATGAATACGTGCCATATCGCGCAGAATCGGGCGCTGCTTCTGGATCTGATGCTGGATCCGTTGGATTAAGCGTCATTTACAGTCCAGACCATGGGCATAAGGCAGATATTGTCTTTGTGCATGGCCTTGGGGGGACGAGCCGGCATACTTGGTCGAAGCACAAGAATCCAGAACTTTTTTGGCCCTTGACATTCTTGCCCCTGGAGCCTGATATTTGCCTAGCCCGGATTCTCACATTTGGTTATAATGCCAATTTTCGCAAGGCAGGAAACATCAGCCGATCTATCCTCGATTTTGCCAAGGACCTTTTGTTCGATATGAGATTCTCCGAAGACGGGCAGAAGAACGATCTCAGAATGGGCGACGTAAGCATATTTGGCTATTGTTACATGTGAGAAACTAAATTTTTGAACTCCCAGGTTCCCTTGATTTTTGTAGTCCATAGTATGGGTGGCCTCATTGTCAAGGAGGTCAGTAATTCCACAAGAGATTGTAGGCTTTCTCAGAAATTGACGTTTAGCACTAGGCCTACATACAGGGACAAAACGACCCTGATTATCAAGCTATCATCAAGTCAATCTCAGCGATCACATTCCTTGCAACTCCTCATCGCGGTACCAACTTGGCTGAGATCCTTAACAAAATACTGCAGTCAACCTTTGTCAATAGCTCGAAACAGTACATATCCGAACTGTCCAATAACTCGTTCATGTTGCAAAAGCTCAACGAGCAATTTCGTCATATCGCACCAAAACTAGACATAGTGTCCTTCTATGAGACCCAATCTACCTCAATCGGCGTCAAGAACCTTCGTGTTGTCAGTAGACTCTTGTTACTCTACAGTCTTCCCTACTGACTATTGAATGCACAGATGGTTCTAGAAAAGGAATCCTCTGTATTAGGATACCCGGGAGAAACTTCGAAAGCCTTGGATGCTGATCATCATGGGATTTGCAAATATGAAAGTCCTCGAGATCCCAACTACGTTACCGTCAGAAATGTCTTGAAGTCTCTCATTAGTAAAATCCTTTCATCCAATCGATCAAAAGAGTCACCTTTGCTTAACCGGAGGAAATCGCTCGATGTCAAGTCTTACCTCGGTGTCATGGAGTTACCGGACGTCGACTTCATCTTTTTTCAAGATCAGTGGGCCGAAGGAACAGGACAATGGATTTTCGAGGAGAATCTCTTTTCAGAATGGCTACAAGCAATTGACTCCGGCCCGCATCTGCTGTGGTTAAATGGCGGTGCCGGGACAGGAAAGTCGGTTCTTTCTTCATTCCTTATCAACACACTGGCTGATAAAGGTCTTAATTGCCAATACTTCTTCATAAGGTCTGGAGACCAAAAGAAAAAAACCCTCAGCCTACTGCTACGGACTATCGCATACCAAATAGCGCAAGCATTTCCGGTCTTTTCTGATAAGGTACTCCAGCTTGTGGACCACGCCATTGACTTTAGCACTGCGGATCCGAATACCATTTGGGAGCGCATCTTCAAATCTTTGCTTTTCAAGATGAGAGATCTTCCCCCATTATACTGGATTGTGGATGGCCTCGATGAAGCGGATAGTTCTAGAGCAATTATACGACAATTTTCCGGTATCAAGTCATCATACGTACCGATACGCATTCTCCTCGTCAGTAGGGACACGTTAGAGATTGCGACAGCCATACAGAGAGTGTCAAATACCCTGATGGTCGGAAAGATACGAATGGAAGGTCATCTCGAAGACTTGAGATGTTACATTCGTCAAGAACTTAGTATGCCAGGCAGCATTGAGTACAGGGAGAGCATCTCCAACAGAATTGTAGATGGGTCTCAAAACATCTTCCTCGTGAGTATTTTCATAATTATCAGCGAGTACTGAGAATAAGATGACTAATCGATCAGTGGGTGCGATTTGTTATCGACAAACTCAACTCATGCCATACAAACGAGGATGTTGAACTCGTTCTTCATGAACTGCCTTCGGGCATGGAGGCACTCTACGATCGAATGGCGGCGAAGATAGCAAACAGTCTATCCTCAAGAGACCGCAAACTGTCATTTAGTGTATTGCAACGCGTATCATGCTCGTTTCGACTTCTGACAGTCGCCGAACTATCAGAGTCCTTGCCCGAGGATACGTCACAAATCCTCGACATACAACGTTCCATCGTGGGTCTTTGTGCTGGGTTTACCGTGATTGATAACGGGGCAAATGTGTCCATGATTCATGAGACAGCAAGAGAGTACCTACTGAATGCAGAGGGTGTGTTATCTATCGATCGCGCCGCTGCACACGAGCAGATGTTCTTGAGCTGTATCCGGAACTTGATGGATCCGAGTCTGCGAACAAAGTTGCGAAGGAAACAGAAGCTCGTATTCTTGGACTATGCCACAAATTGGTGGTCTTTTCATCTCGCTTTCACCTCCGTGGAATCACATCTCGTCATACAGGAGCTACAAAAATTCCTACGTGGGTCGGCAGTTTTGACATGGATCGAAATCCTAGCTATCAACAAACAGCTCCGACAACTTGTCCAGGCATCAAAGAACCTTCTGAGATACTGCGGTCAACTCGAAGAGTCCAGAATAAATCCTCTGATCACAGATCTGTTCAAAAGCTGGGCCATGGACTTCGTCAAGATCGTAGGAAAATTCGGAGCCCTCTTACAGAGAGACTCGGAATCCATCTACAGAATGATCCCTCCTTTCTGTCCTCAAGGTTCATCAATTTTTCAGCAATTCGGCAAGTCTGAAAGCATGTCTCTTGCGGTCTCCGGATTATCCTCTGTTGAGTGGGATGACTTGCTTGCTCGACTCTCTACTGGTATTGGAACATACACTGCATCTATCTCGGCTGCTGGAGCTCAGATCGCCATTCTTACGTCGCCAGGGAATGTTTTCTTGTATGACTCTTCAACTTTTGAGGAAAGCTCTTCAAGCCCATTTAAGCACAATGAGCCTGTGTATAGAACTGCCTTGAATACTTCGGGGACATTGCTAGCTTCCTATGGTTACCGCACAACAAAGGTCTGGCATATTCCAACAGGCAAATGCCTAGTATCTGTCAGCAACGACGAGTCAAGATCGAGGCCACTCGCGTTGCTCTTTATCGACACTGATGCCACTCTTTTGATAGGCACAGATGACAGAAGAGTGCGGTCTCTCGATATTTCAGAGTTCACGACAACTTGGAAATTGATCGCTACGCTTGATGAACCCGAGCTTGAGGGTCATCTGTTGAATTCTGCCAGCCATATGGCGTTCAACCCAGATGCGAGCCTCATATCCGTTGCCTACAGGGGTCACCCAGTCGCAGCTTGGGACCTTCATGGCCATCTTCACATTGGACACTGCTGGAAACCAGGCCGAGAACATATGTCATATGGTGAGGTCATTGATGCCTGTTGGCACCCCCACTATCCAGAACTGTGGGGACTTTACCTGGAAGGGGTGGTTTTCAGATGGCGACCCTACGAGGATAAGGTCGAAGAGTTCCGCGTCACTGGAGTGTCCAGATTTGAACTCAGCAAAGATGGCAATTTGTTTGCGACTGGGGATGTACATGGAACAGTAAAAGTGTACACCACGTCGCATTTCAAGTTGATATACCAGCTCGCGTCGCAAGATCCTGTACTTGGGCTCACGTTCAGCCCCGATTCGCGTCGGATTTACGACATAAGAGGTTATTACGGCAATTCCTGGGAACCTAACGTTCTCATGCGATATGCAGAGCAAGTCCACAAAGGCGCCGATAGCGACAGTGAAACAGATAGCCTTCAGCTTTTCACTGCTTCGGCAAATGTTTGTCATTGGATAGACTCTGTTACAGCTCTTGCAACTTCACCAACCGGACGAAGATACTGCTTCGGAACGGAGAAGGGAATGGTTGAATTGCATGACATACATCTCGGAAAGCTTCGCAACTATCAAGCTTCGAAAAGCTACCTCAGTATAGAGGCAATGTGTTGGAGCAGTGACGGAAAGTATCTGGCTTTCTCTGACTCCAGCAAGACTGTCTTTGTAGTTTCGCTGCCCTCTTCCGAAGATCGCGATGTGTCCCTTGAACCGAGCATTCAACTAGCGATGGCAAGCACTACAGCTGGGCATATATGTCAGCTCCTGTTCAAGGAGACCTCGGATCTTCTGCTCGTATACACGGATTGTAGGGCCTACATCATTTGCATCTCATCTAGGGACATCATCCATTCTTTTGTCCCGGAGACGAGCGGCTGTAGGTGGATTATTCACCCCCATGACCCAAACCTTGTCATCGGTTTCGGGCCTGGCATAGTTCATGTCCTTGACTGGAATTTGGATGTAATTCATATCATCGCCTTCAACAACCTTCGGCCGAGCAATGAAGGATTTGCTCAAGGCACAAACTCTTCTCCAACAGGTAGATTTGTCATTGATCGGGTCCTCGTAACTCAAGACAAAAAGCATATTATGTGCCAGCAGTCAGCAGCAGAGAAGAATTCGAGAGAGAGATCTTTCCTTGCTTTCCCAACTTCTGCATTTCCAACGTCATTCAATTCTGCCACTCAACAACAGGAGCGAGCCCCGGCGTTCGTTTCTGCGCTAGAGCTACCCGGTGAACTGGTGTTGGACACATCTATCATACTCTGTTTTCTGACCAAAGACCGTCTCATTGTTCTTTCAAAATCCTTCTCGGTCCGTTCGGTACATATTTCTTTTGATTTCGACATACCTTCTTCTGGCAACGCAGATAATTCAGGGAGCATTGTGTTTGCTGAAGAGGAACCAAAAACCTCGGGGTGCCCAAAGATGAAGGCCCTAGTGGTGAAGAACGTAGCAGAATTATTCTCATTTCCAGGAGACTGGATCAGTCGAGAGTGCTTAGCGTCATGCTCGGTATGGCTAGAAGAAAAGTCGCTTCTATGCCCAAGAAATGGGGAGGTTGCGGTTGTCAAATGTTCTGCTTTGAACTGACATCTTCATCTGGTTCTTTCTCTCACATTTCAACAACTTCGTCAACTTGTATATTATAAAAGGCATGTTATACTGATAGATATTAACTCTTTTCGATTTCTCTTGTTCTCTTCTATTACGTGGGCGTTCTTGGCGGACTTAACGTTTCATGGATTGCAAGGCTCGAGGGCAGCTTGCCGCCACTTTGTCCCCATACGATAATCAATGCAAAAAAGGACCATTGCCATCAAACCTAAAGCACTTAGCAACGTATATGTCCATCCAGCGCCCATAATATCCAGCATTTTCTGCAAGAAAGCCACAGCAATAGTCGCCAGAGTACATCGTATCAGGTTGCTCGAGGCTTGAGCGGCTGCTGCTGCATTGTGATTCTTGTCTGTTAACAGTGTGTTGTAGATCTGTTCAAGTACTCAATTAGACTCTCTCAAAAAAGCTCATGTTCTCTGTGACATGCTTACGCTGAAAACAAATTGTAAAGACATTCCAAGAATGAATTGAAGAACAAGAGGTAGTGCAATGTGCTTTTGTAGTCAGTTTCGGGCAACATACGATCTCAGCAATCGGCTGACATACCCGGCGATAGTGCACTACCCAGCCATACGCGACAAGTGCTAAGATTGTAATAGCAAGCGGTGTCCACATGACGCTGAGACGTGCTTTCTCAATCGGAAAGTTACCTAGGTCGTCTCCAGCGATCTTATCTGTAGGCAGTCCTTGTCTTGTCCGGGCGTTGCGATAAAATGTATCTAGCATCGGACCAGAAATCAAGGTCGATACTATAGAGCCCACACCAAAAGGTAAATAAATCAGGCTTGTCTGCCACTGATTTAGGCTATAAACCTCGATGAATAATACCGATAGAGAGGTACAGACACACGTGTAAACCAGGTAGAGAAGGCCGGCCGCAAATATGACAACGGTGTTATCTCGACGGAAAAGAATCGTGATGGATTTCAATGGATTTGGCGTTCTCGTTTTCGACTGACGACTCTGTTGGTCATTCGTTCCTTTCCAATGGTGCATGAAACCCTGATACGGCAGTCGAGAGTATCTTGGCGGGGGGGTCAACCCACTGCCAACGACCTGTCGACAAGTTTCGGGCAATAGAAATATGACCAACACAAGGCATAGTCCTGCGGCTATGCAAAGAAACCAGAATATCCAAGGCCATCCCGCAGCATAAGTCAAGAGTCCGCCAATAATCGGACCAACGCTCGGTCCGATTGTGACGCTGATAAGGGTCAGTATATCTGACGATAATTGGACTGATGCATTCATAGACATGAAGTAGACAAGAACAAACCTGAAAGATACTACGCTGACAAAAGAACCGCGCTCAGCTGGCGACGCAATATCTGCGATAACACCATACACGAAAGCATTTGTGCCTGTGAGCATCAGCCAATTTCCACTGCCGTGGCCCGAACACTCGATAGCATGTGACTACATGTAAACCTACCAGAAATTGCCAATGCCTGTAGTGCTCTCAGGCCTATCAGTGCAGAATAGGTTTTTGACAACGCAATCGACACGTTTGCCACGAAATAGAGACTGAGCGTCATCAAATATACCGGACGTCGACCAAGGACATCAGCGAAGTCACCGAACATGGCAGGGGCCACTGTGGCGACAGCGAGGTAAGATGTTATCGTTAAATTGATCTTTTCGATAGAAACAGATAATGTCTCCGACAGTGCGTTAATGGCCGGGTAGTAGATAAAACTACTCAGTCCTGAGAACCAAGTCGCGTAGGATACAACGGAGATGATAATCCATTTCTCGATCTTAGTGAACTCAGAGTATCGTCCTGGTCTTTGAGGGCTAGAAATTTGATCTAAGCGCTCAACACCCATTGTGTCAGGGAAAGATCGTCTGATTGGTCTGAGTAACAGGTGTGTAAGCTCCCGCTGTGGATGCAATTTAAGACTGGACCAGGCAGTAGATGCATCTGGTCGGATGGCAGGCATTTATCTATCTAAGGCTGTGGGCTCGCATTTCCTCCCTTCCGAAGTCGGAGATGCAGTCATGCAGCTGCAGACTGCAAGAAGGTAATATGTGGCTTGAAAGCCAAGACCACAAGGCAGAACATGCGCATACCAACGCTTACTGCGCTTGCTTGCTTACTTTTTATGCCCACCCTACCCATCGCTTGTGTATACTGGGTGATCGAGGCAAATAATTCAATGACCAAGACCGAAATGAGGAGAATGACTACGTTTCGGGGAATCGTCCAACACCCTGGTCGCATCCCCCGGCGGGCTCACGTACGTACATCTAGGTCCATTGTGCGACGCTGATGTTGACCACTGTTTCTTATAACAGTCTTCAAGAAGTTGCGACTCTAGGCGACGCTTCTGTGCTGACTACCTCAAGGCACCTCGAAGTGTAAGAGGCTTCTGCCTTTTCTCACTAAATGTACAAGTTCCAGATAGGGTAATGCGGCTGTTTATCTATAGCATCTGGGCACCTTGCTAAGGGTTTGATATTTGATTGGAAAAGTATAATAATACATTCAGAAGTGAACAAAAACAAGTTCAAGTCATACTTTCAGAAAATGGCCTTCAATGCTATTGCGGCGTGTCCAGTTATTGCATTGACCCCGGTGTTTACGTCCGACAATGCGGCAACTAGGCTGCAGCACAAAGCGCCCTGGTTTTTTGCAACTCCCAGCATCGCATGGCTCATCTGTCATCACAGATATAAAGAGCAGAAGAAGGAATTTAACTCCCTGAGATTGAATCAAGCGCTTGCAGTTACGTAAACCGTGCTGATCACTGTGCTTCGTGGTGGGCATCGAGACTTCTTGGAAGTGGTGGTGAAAGGCACAGCCGTTGCACTCAAAGTCGCGGCTGAGCTGACTGTTGACACCACCAACTCGCTGATCTCGCTCTTCGGGGCCGCTGATCCACTTAGGCCAGCCGCAGTCGTAGATGCGTACGAGTACGTCGCGTTGACAGAAGGCACTGCCGCGGAGGCAAGGCTTGTGGGCACGACTACCGCCGCTGAGGACGAAATGTCCTGTCCCCCGACTGTGGACGTGACTGCCGGGAGTGTCCAAGGGGTGATTGTCGGAGCCACGCTAACACCCTCTGCGGTAACGTTCTCCACAAGAGCTTGGGGCCATCTAGCCGGCCCCGGCATCGTGAAGTTGACGATCCACGGACGATACATGTAGAACTCGATACCGGGCTCGTGGCCGTCGTACAATCCCGGAATCTTGACAGTCGGGCCGGGGACGGCGGTACTGTCGCTCTCAACTTCGATCTGGGCGCAGTTGAAGTAGAACTCCGCACCACCAAAGTCACCAGCTCCATGAACGCCAATGTGCTCGATTCGCATGAGGTACTGCCCAGCAGGCGTCTCCTCAGGCAACTTGAACGTAAAGTTGCCAACGTTGGTGACGCCCCACTCGATGCCTTCGCTGGAGAAGGACTTTGGCCCGAGCTCATAGATCTTGAACCAGTCACCGGAACCGTCGTACTCGCGAACATCACCCGGTGCTTTGGAGAGGTAGGCCTGCATGGGACCCGGGTGCTGAATCGTGCCGCCAAAGTTGAGGCCGAAGCCCACTTCGTCGCCCGCCTTGACTTTGTAGACGCCCGTGGTGGCGGCGTGCTCCATGGAACCGGTACGGCATCGGAGGTCGGTGCTGTCGTAGCCGTTCTTAAAAGGCATGTATCCCGCGCTGTTGTCGCGGACGTATTCGTTGTAGCCGGTGAAGTTGCCGTTGACGATGAGGTGGGGGAAGAAGTAATGAGCGGACGCGCCGGAGGCTGACGCAGCCAGAGCGAGGAAAGTTGAGCTCCGCATGTTGGGCGAGAAATGGAATAAGGAACGGAAAGGCAGATTTGCCAAAGTGCTAGAAAAAAAGAATGGGCTGAGTTGTTACGACCCGCGGAAGATGGAAGAATAACGCACTGGACTGCGACAGCTCACGTAGCGCCGGCGTTTACATCACCTTATACTTCGCCATGCTGCCGGCAGGAGTCCGACATCGACTTTGACTGCCGAACGCCGACTTGACGTTTGTAAGTGGGCCAAGCCCATTAGCCCCGAGTCTAAGATGAACCGGTGGTCCTGTCATCAGGCAAGCTAACGGGACATCCCTTGAACTTTGACGGTCTGTTTCAACGGGCCGGTGGGATGGCGTGGACGAATAGACGCCGCCGTCACCCATGAAATTCTCCGTAGCTATCGGACGTCTGAATGGTCCAACATCACCTTGTCACATTGGCCCTGGTCGAAGGCGTCTGCTAGAGTTAGAATGTGTCTAGGAAGCTGTCAACGATCGGGATAATTTACGCGCACTCACCTGAGTGGTGCGGTAGCCCCCTTGCGGCGGGACATGCCTTGGCGCAACCGCAACATCGGGTGCCGGCGAGGATTACAGAAGAGTAGCAAATAAAGTCGGACGGATCGTCGATCTTTTATCTACGCGAGGCACATTAGGAACTAGGATTGAAAAGCGAGCTTTATGGAGTTTCTTGACATATCAACCGCTCAACTCCCCCTGACTCAATTTTGACTCACGCTATTCTGCTTGATATCGCACTCCTTCTCCTCACATCAGCGCCCAAGACCTGAAACCCGAATATTGAAAATCAAAGTCAGACAAAAACTAAAAACCCCCTTTCTGTACTCTTTTCAGCAAAATTATGCAGACAACAAACCTCTCATATTGGAAATCCATGCCACCTCTCATGTTTCTCACTTCGTCTAGCTGCGCTGATTGGCAAAAATGGTCTGGCCAGCAGTCACAACTGCGGTCTCCCAACCGGGGTGGTGAGATTTGTAATGCTATCCATGCTGTTAGCTGATTTGTTCTCACAAGGAGTTGATATTCAAAGGGGAAGTGAAAAGCAACTTACTCTCTTGAGGCGATCCGTCGTCGTGTAGCCCAAGCCACATCCCAGCACACATCGGTTCGTCTTGCGTTCCTCGAGGCTTGCAACACGGCCAGACTTTACCTTGGTATCCTTCCGGGGAGTATCCCTAGTCTTGATTGAGCCTTTACCGCTGCGGGGATTTTTCTTCCCAGAGCCCTCAAAGTCCGAGTCTGAGGAGCTGGAGTTCTTCCTGGGTGGTTGGGGAGGAATGTCGTCTCTCACAAAGTCATCTGGGTCCGAAGTGTCATCTGAATCTTGTTCCTCGGGTTGTACAGCACCATCATCGTCCAAGTCCATCGGGTCCGGAGAGGGGTGTGTACCTTCTACTTGCGCCTGCGCATGCCCCCGAGCAATTTGGACGATAATATCTCCCATAGCGTCGATAGTCGCTCTTTGTACATCTTCCCAGTTCTCGACGTCTTCGCGGTTGTAGAAGTCGATCAAAAAGTTTGAAACGAGGTGTTGAATCTCGGGACGGCTAAGGAACGGTGGCGCCATCGCTGTAGTCAACTTAGTAGATATCAAGTTTGTGGGTAGGTTGTTTGTTGGTATTTGGGGTATACTGAACTTTGTCTGTTGTTAAGATGTTGGTGATCGGCTGTGCTGGGATAATGATGATGTTGTATTTCAATCGACGTTGGAAAGGATGAAGACGAAATAAGTATTCTCCCAATGACGGGCACGGAGGCTCGAGGGTCAGTCAACAGTGTTGAACTCAAAGCTAGCAATTTTCAGAACAATGCCATCGATATTACAAAGACCTGTTTGTGTTCTCGACCTTGGACAATGTCACAGTAGTCGAGGTCTCTACCTCGTTGGTCATTGAATAAAGGCGACCGTTCCATCCACAAAGGGAGTTCAAACAGTAATACAAAGTCTTTGAGGACGCATTATCATTGACCAGTTAATATCGCATCACTGGTGAAAGCCAACAAAGCATTGTAAGAATTCGCAAATTTTCATCCGCATCTTCACTCTATTTCCTTCTACCAATCATGCCGGAAATTTAAATTCTCTCGGTCGTAGAACAAGCGCCAGCCGGAGCTCAGTCTCCCATCGTAGCTTACCTTGATATTTACCCTTCGCCGATGGTAGTCTCGGGTAGATCCAAGGTCTGCAAAACAAGGAGATACTCTACTAGTGTACTTGGGCCCGGCTCTGCTTCTTTTGCTGCTCATGGCGAGATTCCTTTGTATTCCATATGAATACGATGGCAGTATTTACGGGTTGATACAAATACATTACTTGAGCCCGAATCGACGTGGTATCCACACGTACAGATTGCTTACATCTAGATATTGTCACTCAGAGAAGACTCCTGTGGCCGATATGGGCCACTCATAATAGCATAGCTGAACTTCATTCACGATTCTACTGATAGTCCCATGGGTCATCGCCCCAGTCGTCTCCAGAGTAGTCCACGGCAGCTTTCTTCGTCCACTTGTTCTGAGCAGCGGGACCTTGATCTACAGGAACGGTCCTGACGGTAGTCTTTGGCTGAGGCTTCGAGAACAGAGGCGGGACAGTCAATTCGCTGTCTGCGAGCGCCTTGGTATCAAGAGGACGCCCCTCAAGAGTCGGCCGGGCCGATTGAGTAGTGTGGCCGACATTGTGCGGTACGGGTTGCTCTCGAGTTGGCTGAGCAGCATGCCGCTCAACTGTGACAAGGAGCGGCCTTAGTACCGGCTGTGCTTGGGCTTCAGATACGTCCATTGTCGAAACAGAAGCAGCGTCTGAGAGATTATCCATATGGTCCATCGGTGAACCTGAAGGCAGTACCAAGCCTCCAGGTGGCACGCTGGCTGAACGTTGTTGGGTCTGTTCCCCGGCCATGGAGTGTCCTTGAGCTTGAGAGATAGGCTGAGACGCTAGCCCTGCAGGTAGAGACGCGTTGCTCTGAACCGGGAAATTCTGGCGAACTGGTGCTTGCTGAAGACTGCTAGTGTTTGGAGTGAAGGCCTGGTTACTCGAAGATTCTGGCCTACTTAACAGGGCAAATGGCGTATATTGGGCGTTGGGCACATTGCTTGGTTGTCCAGACATGACTGGCACCGCTTGTTGGCTTAACCTCGGATCTGTTGATACGCCGGCAGCCATAAGGTTTCCCGACATCGAAGCTAGCGGAGGAGGTGCACCATGCATCGGCTGTTGAGCTATCGGGATTCCTTGTGGTGGCGGCGGGGCCTTTTGAAGAGCACCGGACTTGCTAGAGGCTCCTTTCTTGAACTTGGACAGCCAGCCTCCCTTTTCCTTTCCGTTTGCCGAATGTTGCATGACGGGCGGGGTTGATCCGGGGCGCAGTGCGCTTGACTGAGGTAGTCCTGCAATGTTGACTGTAGCTTGATCTGGTGGGGTGTTACTCGCCACTGGACAGTAAGCTGGATAGGGAGCGAAACTCGATTCAGAAGTATACCCTCGGGTATTTGGGGAAATTCGTCCTCCTGAGGGATTAAGAGCAGAGTTCATCACACTTTCGATCTCGTTGTGCTCGTGAATAGGGTGAAGTAGATGACCGGGAGACCTTATAGGCGTGGAAGGGCTCATTGGGCCAAGACCTTGTTGGGGAGGCAGAGTTACTGTGGGACGAGATGGGCGATTTGTCAGTGTCACGGGTTGGCGGTTATCATCGGTTGGGTATGGTGGTTGTGAAGTGAGTACGGGCTTGGCTCCTGAGGCTGGACTACTAGATTGTCCTGATTGCATCCCCATAGGATGCACTGAATACGGCCTTGAAATGCCATGAGCAGCCTCAGCAGCACTAGTGCCGCTTGTCTCCCAATGCACCGAGTCGAAATGAGGCCGCGTTTGGCCTTGAATCTGATCTGACAACTCGTACCTTTCTGGCTGCGATTGCTGAGACGCCGGTAGCGCTGTTTGGCTCGCCGTGCTACCAGGCGGCAGAGAGTGACGGCGATTCGAGGAAGGGGTGTAAGTTTCGCGAGAAGTCTGAGACTCCATGACTTGATTGGGATGAGCCGTGGCCAGCGATGATACTGGAATCTTCCCTGGTCGAGCTGGAGGACCTTGGCTCTCTGCGAATTTGTAGGCCTGCCGGGAATTTTCTATTGTCGTCGGCGCAGCAGAGGGACCAGAAGTTGATGCTGTCCTCAAACCTGCGGTACCGAACCCAGCACCGGATTGTGAGGAATAAGAGTTCGAGTTTGCACCATGGAAGAAGCCGGAAGAATGGCGTCTTCCGTCGCTCTCCAACGGTGATGGAGTTTGGAGGGGAACTGATGACTGGCTGCCTGTCGGGGGCCCAAGGGACGAGACCTCGCTTGAAGCATACGACGTCTGCCGAGGTCGTCCCCCGTCTGGTCTAGAGTCATATCCTTGCGTATCATCGCGAGGGTAGTCTATCGATGTTCGGTGTAGAGCGGAAGATGGTTGTTGGCGAATTTCACTCTGGGCTCGCGGACGCTGAAGGAAGGCGGGTGCAGATGGGGTGTTTGTTGCAGGAAGCTGACCGCTTTGGTTTGCTATTCCATACTGGTCTTGCGATGACTGAATAGGCGTCGTCTCGGGTCGTTGAACTTGCGGGCCTTGGCGACTAGAAGATGTCTGCGAGATTGTGGCGGAGGAGGAAAAAGCTTGAGTGTTGTCTTGATGAGACGGTGAAGGTGCCTTCTGGCTTGCGAGACCTGGTTGGAATGCCGCGTATTGCGTTTCCTTGCCTGTCCCTTTCTTGCCTGGACTATCAGAAGATGCTGACTGCGGGAGCGACGGGTCCTGGGCTCTGCTCTGTGGCTGTCCTCTTGCTGGCTTCAGCACTGATGGGAAGTGTTGCAGAGGCCCCTGTGTGACGAGGCCTGAAGTTTGACTGGCTGTGCCGGGGGCTCTTTGGTGATTGGCGGGAGGGCTTGGGGCTTGAGACGAGTCCATGGGAACTTTGGGCGGCAGCTGAGGAGGCTTGAGAACAGAGGGCATACTTGTCTGGTCGAACTTGTTTCGTGGGCCCATCATTAGGGACCCATCCCGAGCAAGGGAATTACGATGTTCTCGGGGTTTGTAGTCAGTCGTGCTCGATTGCTCTGTAGCTATGCTGCTGACTGCTCCGGGTACATAAGGGTGGTATTGAGTCTGCTTGCCCGCCGACTTGGAAGGCTTTCTTTTGATGTTGAAAGGACCACTTCCGCTCGGAGTTGGTGAGGGGCTTTGCGTTGGTTGCGGCGCCGGCGGAGGCACCACCTCTGGCAGAGAGTGATCAGGAGTTGTGATCCCTGTACCTAAATCGCGTCGAGGTCCCTGAGATGCTGTAGATCTCCGAGAGGGTGATGAATTTTGCGGCCTAGATCCGGTTCCAAAAGTAGCGCCGTAGAGGGCTGCATCACTCATGTTCGTCTGATGCAGCAAATCGTGGGTAGACTGAGCAGATGGCGGCTTTGCCTCCGCCGGACTCGTCCGCTCTGGTAACTCGGCAATACCCAGGTCGGCGAAATTCGTCTCGATGGGTGCTAGCACTGCTGTGTCGGCCATCTCAACCGGGTCAGGGTGGGTTTCGATGTGAGCTGGCGCCGTGTGCTCCGTTGCCATTTCGGCCATGGTACCCACTGGGTCCCATGGCGGACTGTAGAAATTGGCTGAGAATCCAGGCCGAGGCTTTTCGACTGAATCAAGGAGCGGAACGCCAGGAGAGGGTGGGAGGGCCTGGCTGGGATCCGGGCTGGTATCAGTGTTGACGCTGAGAGGCTGCTCTGCAGTAGTCATCTCTGCCCGTGCCTCGGACGTAGCTTCAGCCCCTTGTACAGGGACACTGTTGATGATAGAGGGTGTATTGGTCTCGCTTTGTAGCGGCGATACGCCCGACTTCATGCTGGCAACATCGAGCATCGCATGGTTCTTGGTACTGCTGCCTTCGCCGCTTTCACCAACATTCGGCCTACCCAATGCCTCCTCGCGATCGTCCTCGTCAGCTTCCGGACTGATGTCGTCGTAGGCGCCGGGGCCAAGGTACATGAAGTTCTCGGGCTGGAAGAAGAAGCCGTCGCTATCGTCATCGTCATTGCTCATGGGTCCTCCAAAACCACTTCGACTCATACCAAAGTCGGACATGGGTCCGCCAGTAGCGCGCATCTTGGATGTTGGATTGGCATCGGTCGTGGTTCGTCTTTTGAGCTGTTGTTGGCTCTCAAGCTTCTCCTCGGGGGCAAGCTCGGGGGCTGGTGAAAAGCAATCGACAAAGTCTGGAAACTCGTCGCCCTCTTTCGGGAAGTGAAATTGGACATGGCCGTTGGGCTTGTAGCGGTAGAACCAGCGGGAGCCATCGTAGTCCCATTCCCAACCGGAGGGGAGGGCCGCCATGATGCCCGAGGCGACGAGTGTTCTCGCTCTGGGGAGATGTGGGATCGTAGAGCCTCGAGAATCTGGAGGGGTTCCCTTCGTAGGACTTCGGGCAGAGTCGCAATCCGATTGGCAGACACAACCAACAGCACTGTTGGGCGGTTTCGGACGGGCGAGGTCCGATTCTCGGAGTATTTGATAGTGAGCCTACTGCGGGG